GTCCAGATAATTTCTTTCTATTTTTAGTAGAGACGGGGTCTCGCTCTTGCTGGTCTCGAACTCCTGACCTTGAGCGATCTACCCGCCTCGGCCTCCCAGAGTGCTAGGATTACAGACGTGAGCCACCGCGCCCGGCCAAGGAAGAAAGGATTTATTGCAGGGGATTCGTCAACTGGGAGGCAGATGCTAGGCACAGCCAAGGCACTGGGCAGCCCAGGGCGGCTAAAGCGTCTTGGGAAGCTCTTGGAGACAGGTAGAACCAGGTGCCGGATGCAGGGGGCCTGGGGCTAGTGTAGGCTGGATGCCCCAGGAGAAGGGCTGGCCCTGTGCAGATGTGGGGCACGTGTCAGGCAGAGGGAACAGCCTGTGTGAAGGCCCTGCGGCAGGAACGAAACAGGTGCCGGTGAACAGCGATAGGGCAGGTAGCCCTGGTGCAGGTGTGGGGCCTGCGCAGGGGAGCACAGCTTGCGCTCGTGTTCCGAAAGCGTCCTCTTTACCAGACGTTTGTTAGATGCAATGTGGGAGAGACAGAGGGTGAGAGCAAGGGCCTGCCGGGCGGGGTGGCCTCATGGGAAATGCCTGGTGACTCTACCCTGCGGCCTGAGCCTGCAGCCTCTTGGGTACCTGGCACACCTCCTACTCCTGTGGTTCCCCTGCAGCTCCTGGCCTGCTCTGCTCCCGGATCCTAGGTGTGCGGTGAGTACCTGTCTCCACCCCTGAGCTGGGAGGGCCCTTATGGAAGGTCACAGGGTGAGTTAGCGGCAGGACTGGGCTGGCGGCCTGTGTGCAGCACCTGGTGTGCTGGGGCCTCCCCACGGGGACGGTCTGTCGTGGCAAAGGCTGGCAGAGTCTGGACTTGACCACGTCTGTCCACCCAGTGCCCACAGAGCTCACTTGTTACCCATCATGGGAAGGCGTCCTGTGAGCTTCTGCTCAGATGCGGCTGTGTGTAGGCCTCCTGCCCAGGGGACCTGCCAACATCCCCTCCGCCCCGTGTGGAGGGCCTGGTCCCAGAGCTTCCCTCCCTACATAGTCCTGGGACCCGGACACCGTCGCTCGGCAGCCTGCTGAGCTGCAGGGCGCAGTCCGCCAGAACACTCCGTTCAAGTCGGGACCAGTGTCAGGGGGTTGGGTGAGGGTCACTTGGCCCGAGTTCTGTCCACTGGCCTGGACAGAGAGACAAGGGGTTGCTGGGCAGAGGCATGAGAGGTCCCTCAGCAGAGAGGGGACGGATGGGAGGGACTCGGCCAGAGCTCTGGGGCAGCCAGTGGGGCCTCGGTGGCCACTGACCCGCCGTCTGCACCCCGGCAGCTCCAGCGTGGGCGCAGCTGCACTGGCCCGAGATGTCCATCAGAGCGCGGCTGCTGACGGCCCAAGCAGGTGAGGCTGCATGCCCACAGCGTCCCTCCCACCGCTGCCTCTCCTGCGGTCTCCGGCGCCGCATCTCGGGCCTGCCTTCTGGTCCAGGCCTCCAGCGCACGTCCCCAAAGCTCCCGAGAATGGCCGCCTTTCATTCCTTTGCCCCTCAGGTGTGTCCCCAGCCAGCCCTACCGGGCCCTGTGGGCTTCGGGGTTCCACCTGGTCCTGCCCCGGGACCCTGGCCACGGCCACAGCCCTGTCCTTCCCTCGGAGGAGCTGCTGTGCACCAGGTCCCTGGGCAGGGGCTGTGGGGTGTCAGCATCCGCCTCCTGGGAGCGCCTGGTGGGCTGACACCTCCCTGGGCCCCCGTGTCCACGCTAGCACCCAGCCTACCGTGACGAAGGCCGGAGCCGTGTTACCCAAACGAACTGCGCTTCCCAGCAGCCGGGGCGAGTATGTGGTGGCCAAGCTGGACGACCTCATCAACTGGGCCCGCCGGGTGAGCCCCCTGGGTGCTCCTCTGTCCTGAGGACCTCCCTCTGCACGCATGCACGCGCATGTGCACATACACACACGTGCACACATGCACACACACGCCTGATTCCGTCTGGGGATTCACCCTCCTCTGCACCCCCACCCTGTCAGCTGAGGCTGGACGTCCACCCATGTGCTGAGGCCCCACTGGAGGGCCCCTCTCTTCCTGTCATTTATTTTGTTTTTTAATATGTAAGAAATTTTTTTTAAGTTAGGAAAGTTACATGTGCTGAAAGCAGCAGATCCCTCTCAGTAAAAATCCTAAACCTGCCCCCGCCCCATCGCAGGGTCGACCCATGCGTGTCCGGCCGGTCAGCGGCTCTGTCCTCTGTCCAGGGCCCGTCGTGCTCGGCTGTGGCAGGCCCAGCCCTCACAATCCCCCATTGACAGGCGCGTGCGCCAGCTTCTCTTCTCTGTTTTTCTCCATCATAAACGATGCCACAGGGAACGTCCTGCCGGGGACAGATGCCCACTGCAGGGCTGTGATAGAGGAAGCCCGGGCCCGGTTGGGGCCCATCCAGCTGTGGGCTTCGGCCACCCCTCCCCACTCTGTAGCCGGGGCCTGTTGCCCACGTCAGCACATCTGCTGGGGCAGCAGGGGCTACTTGCAGGTCTCAGATCCAAGCGCGGAGCGGGGGCAGTGGAAGAAACGGCAGGGGGTGGCCAGGGGATCCAGGAGGGCTTCCCGGAGGTGCAGGTCCACATGGTGAAGGGAGAACAAGCCCTGGGGAGTGTTGCGTGCGTAACGGCTCCAGAAGCCAGAGCAGGCACCACCGGCTTCCACGACCAGGTCCGGATCCACTTAACCCCGAGTCCCGGGCTTTAGACCCGTGTGGCCGCCAGCCACGTGGGGCAGCTGCACACTCAGAGTGTGGCTGACGCCCCACGTTGAAATGATGGGATTTAGGAAAAACCAGGTTGAATGACTATGTTATTAAGACTAATTGCAGTTGATTCTTTTTATTTGTTAACGAGGCTGGTGGGAAGCATTGGCTGGGGAGGCTGTCCCCTCCCAGGGAGGCGGGAACTCTAGTTCCCTCCACGGGGGTTCACGGTGTGTCCCCGCAGTGGCAGCCGCTGCCTCTGACCCACGCCTGGCCCCTCCCCCAGAGCTCGCTGTGGCCCATGACCTTCGGCCTGGCCTGCTGTGCCGTGGAGATGATGCACTTGGCCGCGCCCCGCTACGACATGGACCGCTTCGGCGTGGTCTTCCGTGCCAGCCCACGCCAGTCCGATGTGATGATCGTGGCCGGCACGCTCACGAACAAGATGGCCCCGGCACTCCGAAAGGTAGGCCGCCTCCCCACCGCCCTGCAGCCCGGGCGCTGAGCTGCACGCAGACCCATCTCCCCGTGTCTTCCAGGTCTATGACCAGATGCCAGAGCCCCGCTACGTCGTGTCCATGGGGAGGTGAGTGCTGTCCTGGCCATTCCCTGATGGCGTTTATCCAGGGGTGACTGGGTTGGTGGAACCCCAGGTGGCAGTGAAGGGGGCGCTGCCCCCTGGCAGGTCTGTGCCCGTAGCCGCCACCCCACCCAGAACGCTTCCTCCCATCCACCCACAGCCCAGGCCACAGATGTTTCTACCTGGTTTTCGGCTTTGTGGACACACAAGTGATGCTGTGCGCTCGTGGTGGACGGTTTTGTGTTCTCCCATCTTTAACTTGCCGTGCTTTCATTAAAAAGTGTTTAGTCTCTTAGTTTTTCGTTGAAATAATAATTCACGTACCATAAAGTTCACCCTTTTAGAGTAATTCAGCGGTTTCTATAGTATTTATAGACAGTGTACAGCGGCCATTTCTAATTCCAGAACATTCCATCACCCCAAAGGAATCCCCGTCCCCATCAGCAGTCACCACCCCTGTCCCCAGCCCCTGACACCCACGAATCCACGTCCCGTCTCTGTGGATCTCACTGTTCTGGATGTTTCATATAAATGGAGTCTCACACTGTGTGTCCTGTGTCTGGCGTCTCTCACTGAGCACGATGTCCTCAAGGTCCTTCCACGCTGTGGCCTGTGTCAGAGCCTCGTCTCTTTTCGTGGCTGAGAGTGATATTCCAGTGTGTGGAATATGCTAGTAATCCCATTCTAAACAGCTATAGAGTATTCCAGACTTTACACAATCGGTCCCCAGATGCCAGGCACTCAGGCTGTTCCCACTTTTGTGGTGTGAGAATTAACACGGGTGACCTGTCCCAGGTGAAGCCCCGTGATGTCTCTGGTTCTCTCCATGGTGGCCCCAGCAGCCTCACTGGAGCAGAGCTGGGAACGGGGCACAGGTCTCCGACGTGAGGCCCAGTTGCTGTGCAGATGGGCATGGGCTGGTCGTAGCCTGGCAGTCTCTGCTACCCAAAGGGGTGCTTTGTGACAGGTCTTCTTACCCCCGGTGTGGTCCCCAGGGATGGTCAGAAGCCCTCTTAGCGGGTGAACATTTTCTGTGCGTGTGTCCGCCCTGCCTTTGCTCCCAACTCACTTGGTCCTGTGCAAGGTTTTGCAAGCCTAGGTCGTCTTTGTTCATTGCTTATCTGTGACATCCTGTCGGTTTCTGGCCTTTTCTGATAGCCGGGATCTGGCTTGCAATTGAAAGCAGGTGGGGGTGTAGGGGTTGGGCGCAGCCTGGAGGCGGGAGGGTGGGCAGGACTGGCTGCCACCCCCCACCCAGGTGGATCCTTGTGGCCAGAGCTGCCCTCATGGTGCTTTCTGTCCCCCAGCTGTGCCAACGGAGGTGGGTACTACCACTATTCCTACTCGGTCGTGAGGGGCTGCGACCGCATCGTGCCGGTGGACATCTACGTCCCAGGTAAGGCAGCCCTGGAGGACCCCAGCTTACCCCCTCCGGAGGAGCCCACACCCCCAGGAGAGGGTGGATTCTGCCCATTTTACGCATGAGCAGACGCAGGTCTAAGAGGAAAAGCGACTCCACACGCCTTTCCCCTTTGCCAGGAGAGGGTGAAACGTCCGCGATTTTGTTCAGACGTTGGACCAGTCCTAGTGTCTCGGGATCAGGTTGAGCTGTGCAGAATTGCCCCATTCGAGTTTCAAACTACAGTTTGAGGCCGGGTGTGGTGGTGGCATCTGCAGTCCCAGTCACTTGGGAGGCTGAGGCAGGAGGATCGCTTGAGCCCAGGAGTTGGAGGCTGCAGTGAGCTGTGATGACGCCACTGCACTCCAGCCTGGGTGACAGAGCGAGACCCCATCTCTAAAAAAATATATAAAAAATAAACTACAGCTTCATATGGTTCTGCCTAATAGAAACAAAACCAAAAAAGAAAAAAATAGCAATTAACAGTGCAAACGAGATGTTCCTGGAAGCTGCGAATGCTGTCCTCAGTCCTCGCCCTCACAGAGGGCACTCGAGACTCCAGGGTCCCTAGGATGGGCAGACTTGGCACGTAAAATGCCAAAGGCTCAGTTAACTTTGTCAGAAAAACAATGCATAGTAATTTTTTAGTATAGATATAGCCAATATAATATTCGAGATGTACTTATAAAAAATGCAGTTGTGTATCTGAAGCTCACATTGAACTGGGCCCCTTTATTTTATCCAACGATCCCATGGAACTCCCACACCTCGCGGCGTGGGAGAGGGGGATCCCGCAGGGGCATCTGCTCTGGCGGTCGGTGGCAGCAGGTCAGGAAGCAACGCTTACGTGGGGACGGGGCAGAGATGCTTGGTTCTTGGCTGTCCTGTGCTGTGGCCTTAGTGCAGGCGCAGAACCCCAACCCTGACTCAAGTCATGTCCCGGCACCTCTCAGAAGGCAGAGAAACAAGTTTTGACGTTGGATTAGAGTTAATTGGAAAACTGCATTGATTTGTTTAGCATTCTGCAAATATTTATTGAGTGACTTTTCTAGCCCACACCTGCCCCCTGCCTGGCGCTGGGAGTCCCCCAGGCAGGGCGAGAGGGGGAGACAGGCCTGGCACAGACATGCCCAGCCCCATTTGTGAGGTCAGGGAGGGCACAGTGGAATGAGGCTTTGAGGGATGCATAGGAGTTCACCCTGTGGGTTTGTTTGCCTTGACCAGGAGCCAAACCCTGGTTAGTTGCTGCTTCTTTGAGGTGTAACCTTGGGCAAGTCTCCTCTCAGAGCCTCAGTTTCCCCACCCATCAGATGCACCTGTTGTGCTGCAGGCTCCGCCTTCAAAGGCCAGCTGGAGACCCTGTAGACGTCCAACAGGCTGCACTTTGCAAGTGTTTGTGAGGGGCTTGGCCTGCAGAGGAAGGGTCTGGGCCCCAGACAGCTCTCCTGTTCTGGCTGGGGCTGGAGAGTGTGGGGAGGGAAACTGAGGCACGGTCCCGCCCACAGGCTGCCCGCCCACGGCCGAGGCGCTGCTGTACGGCATCCTGCAGCTGCAGAGGAAGATCAAGCGAGAGCAGCGGCTCCAGATCTGGTACCGCAGGTAGTGCCGCCGCCGCGGGAGCTGCCGGAGCCGCCTCTGTGATGTCCCTGGAGATTGTCAATAAACCCGCCCTCGGGCCCACTGCCTGGCAGCTTCTGGGGTGGGGGGCGCCCTCTGCGCCGGCATCTGAGCTGCCCTCGCCCCGAGGCCTGCAGGGTGGCCTCTGGCCTGCTGTGAACTTACGCGAGTTGCTGCCCTCCTGGCCCATTTCCAAGCCTCGGTCAGTGGCTCGGGGAGAAGGGGCCCAGGTGCCTCGTCCCCTTCAGAACCAAAGGGCTCCGGGGCAGGGCTGGAGAGGAACAGGCTTGTGCCCCACCAGCTGCCCTAGGCCTGAAGTCTTACATGGCCTCACCCAGGGCTGTGGGAGAGCCCCGGCTCTGCCGTCTCCCCTCCCATCACCTGTGGAGTCTGTATCCTCATGAAGGGTATGTATTCACTCAGCAAACGTTTGGTCGTCCCAACTTCAGGGTCAGACGCCCCAATTCTGCAGATCCATGGCTGCACGTCAGGGACGGTTCTGGGGACCAGCAGTTACGACAGGTCAGGCTGGGCAGGGGCACCCAGGAGACTGGTGGGGGCACAGGTGCCATGCCCACCCCGAAAAGGGCAGCCTTGAGGGGATGCTGGGTGGGAACAGTGTGCGTGGCGGAGGGAACGGCCCGTGCCAGGGACCAGGGCCCAAGGGCCCCAAATGTAGAGCCGCAGGGTGAGGGTGGGTTGGTGGAGGTGCAGAGGGAGCAGCCTGCACCAGGTGGCCACTAGGGCACCAGGGCAGGGGGCAGCCAGGGTGCTCCCTGGCGCAAGGCCGCGCTGCACCTGGCTCCAGTGCGTGAGGAGAGGGAGTGACTTTGAAGTGGGTGGTGCCCTGGGGGTCCCGGTGGATCATCTGACTCTCACTTGCCTTGGCACTGCCGCCCCCGGACCCTCCCTGCACACCCGCTATGAGCAGGCAGGTGGTTTCATCTCTGACTCCATCAGCGGGTCACGGCTACCCGGGAAGAGGTGGCCATTGCTTGGCCATGTTCGCCGCGGCAGGACGGGGGTGGCCAGGGCCCAGAACCCTGGAGGGGAATGCCCACCTGCTCCCCAAGCTGCTGTGACAGATTTCTGCCTTTCTGAGCAGGTGGAGGAATGACTAGCAGCAGTTGCACACTCACTACTGACAGGCCACGCCCAGCGGCAGTGTTTATTTCAACCTTGAGGCCCCGGAAGGGTGGCGGCAGCCTTCCCTGCAGTGACACGGCTTGGGCCTTCGAGAGGCCAGGGCCCCAGGCACCTGGCCACCAAGGCACTGAGTGGGGGCGGCATGGGGTTGTCCGGAAGTCCAGAGACCGCAGGGTGGTGGGCTCAGTGCTTGGTGACCAGGGGCGTGATCATCTCCGGGAAGGCGTAGTAGCGGCAGTCCGCCGGTGGTACCAGCGCCATCACCTCCGTGCGGATGTTCTCCCTCCGGAAGCCTGCATCCAGCAGCGCGGGCACCTGCGTCTCCTGGTAGGAGGGCAGCCAGGTCACCTCTGAGGACCAGGGGCATTCACATTGCACTTGGTGCCCACCCTTCATTGGAGAGCGTTTAGGAGAGCCAAGATCCTGGGGTGGGCCAGGTGTGGAAGGGAATGTCTCAGCTGTCCTGGAGCGCCAGCCCCAGACCAGGTCCCCAGGACTCAAGCCCACCACAGGGCACCTGTGTTTCTCCACGTCCTCACCAGGTCAGTGGGCAGAGCAGAGAGAGGGTCATGATGGGAAAGAACGCATGGGCTCCTCATGGCACAGGGCTCTGCACGGAGCTTGGCTTCGGAGGGTGGCTCCCTGCGCCTCCTTGCCAGGCAGAGGGCAGGATGTGCAGAGGCCCTGGGAGAGGCACAGCTCAGCCAGTGAGGGCACGTCCTGGGTACAGGGGGCCAGAGGGAGGGCCCTGGGGAGCCATGGGAGGTGGGTGAGCTGAGGAGGGCCCTGCCCAATTCCTAAATGGAGACTCCACACGGTCCAGCCCAGCCGAGGGACCGGCCCTTGAGGCCTGCGGCCCCTGCCCAGCTGGCCCCAGGTCACTGCCAGGGGGAGGACCCTGGGAAGTGGCACCTGGAACATGGTGGTGATGTCAGAGTACTTGGACTTCATCAGCTGCCCCCAGGAGGTGAGGTTGCAGTAGGTGAGGACGCCCCCCGGCTTGAGCAGGCGAAAGGCGTGGTTCTGTGGGGACAGATGCTGGTCAGGCGGGAGGCCAACGGGTGGGGGGTGGCCTCCGGCATCCCAGCAAGAGAGGGACAAAAGTGGGAGGATGGCACGTGCCCCACTCAGCACCCCACCCCGCTGAGGGCCAGAGCCACGGCGCTGACCACTAACCAAGCCCCACCTTGATGAAGCTGAACTGGTGCGTGTGCCAGGTCTCCTCCGACAATGGGTACGTGTCATACAGGATCCCTGTGCAGGGGTGGAAGCCACCCGGTCAGGGCTGGGCCACGCGGCCTGGCTGAGGCTCCCCCCACTCACCCTGGACGGGCGAAGGCAGTGCAGCCTCGAGAACCCGAGAGGCCGCACTTTGAGGTCTACGCACCGTGTCCATCACCTGCCACGTGCCAGGCCCTCGACATGCATCCTCACGTGTCCTCACCCACCCGGGCTCTGTCCCCCCTACCCCGCTGAGAACAGATCAGAGGGGTGTTATTCTTTAGAAGGTCCCTCTGCGAGCAAAGGAAGGAGGTGGATAAGAGTTGGGGGGCCAGCATATCCCCGTGATAGGTTCCCCTCACCATCAAAGTGACCGTCTGGCAGGGTGGGTGCCACCTCCTCCCACAGGCCTTTCAAGGGGATGACCTTGGAGAGGAGAGGAAAAGAGAAGACGGAGGGTCAGAGTGGTCTCCAGAATCTCCCCCTGCAGAAAGGAGGGGCAGAGAGACTCCCCAGGGAGACCACATCTCCCAAGTTTGTGGCTGCCCCAGACCCCAAACCCAGTCTGGGGTGCAGGGCCTTGGGCCCAAGGAGGGGGCACCTTGTGTGGCTGCTGCCGGGCCCAGTCCTGGAGCCGCTGGAAGACGCCATCATTGCACTCGATGATCCAGTGCTCCTCGATGGGGGCCTCCTGCACCTTGGAGGCTGCGATGGCCATGCCGAAGCCCACCTCCAGGACGCGGCCTCCTGGCAGACAGGGTGCCAGCATCACAGCTAGGCCTGGGAGGGAGGCTGCCTGAAGGCGGGGGCACAGGGCCAGGCCCTGGCTGTGAGTCACATTTGCCACAAGGACCGGAGGGCAGTGGGCCAGCATGGGCAGAGGCGGACAGAACACAGCAGCGCCAAGCGGGAGCGCGTGGGCCCTGGGCACCAGCCAGCCAGGGCGGCCGGAGGACAGCAGCGTTTGGTCCCAGCTCTGGGTGGGGGTGGGGGGTCGGAGCCTTGGACTTTGAGCCCTGGTCCGAGCTGTTTGTGCTGGTGGCCCTTATCTCTTAGTTTGGTTACTTTCTGTCCCCTCCATCCCCGCTGGTCAAGGCAAGCCTTGAAACGGTCTGGGGGAGGGGTGGGTCCTCCCTGGACCACAGACGGGGACTTTCTCTGTCCCAGTTTGCACCTGACCCTGGATGTGCCCATTCGCCAGGCGGGAATTGTGAGGCCCGGCCCAGGGAGGGGTCTGTTTGGGGCTGGGGAGCCCCCGCACCCCTCGGGCTCGGGCCACCCCGGGGACAAACGTCTCCCTGCGCTCAGCTTTCACGGGGCTATTCTTAGCGCGGGAGGGGCGGGGCCGGCTGGCGCGGGACAGGCTGGGCAGGCTCCCACCCTGGCGGTGCACCTGCCCCGACCTCAGACGTGGAGCCGGCGGCTGATTTCACCAGGGTCTGGCGTCTGAGCACCCAGCCCGTCCCATCCGGAGCGCGGGGGCCTCGCTCCCCCGTAGAGGAGGTTCCCAGTGCTTAGGGGGCGCCTAATGTGTGCAGGCCTCGCGCCCGCAGCCCTCCCTCCAGGGCCGCGCTGCCCCCCGGGCGAGGAGCGTGAGGCTGGTGCGCGCCGCTGCAGGGCGCGCTGAAGACCCTGGCCCGCCGCCCGGCTCGCTACCTCGGGAGGCGGCGGCAGCCGCCAGCGCGTGCATGTAGGGGGCCTCCCAGCGCTCCATCACCGGCTTGCCCAGGATGCGCAGGTGCGTGTCCGCCTCGTCGTAGCCCGCGGGCGCCGCCTGCCACGCGGGGCTGCAGTTCTCGCCGGGCGCGAAGATGGGGGTCGCGGCGGGGTCGCTCATGGTGCGGCTGGACGGCGCGCCCCAACTCGGATCGGCGCGCGGGCAGGTCCTGCAGGGCCTTCTGGGCCGGGGGCGGGGTTGGATCGGGCTGAGGGGCGGGGCCGGGGCGGGGCTGGACCGGGCGAGGAGCGGGGCGGGGCAGGGGCGGACTTGCGCGGCGGCCCCGGTTGCCTGTAACGGCGGCCGGGTAGACCGAGGGCGAGAGTGGGGTCCCGGACTCCCTCTGACGCCCCCTCCTTTCTGGTCCCCAAAACGGGCACAGCAGCCCCGCGCCGCGGGAAGCGAGCGGGCAGAGTGCTGGAGACATAGGGACTATTGAAGGCGACCTTAATTGCTGCTGACCCCACGGACCCTGAGAGGAAAGGACCCTTCCTCCACTTCGTGGTGCCCTGAGCTGGAGGCCGCCTCTGTGGCTCCGGTGCCCCGGGAGATAAGGGGCCTCCCAGTTTCTGGACAAGCTGTGGCCTCGCAGTGGTCACCTAGGTGTAACCTGGGCTCCATCCCCAACAGTGGCCAAGGGAACAGTGCCATCAGGTGGGCAGTGCAGCCACAGGATTTACCTTCCAGCCTCAGCTTTCTCCTCTAAGAGGGTGGCCACTCTCGCCCCTCCTAATGTCAGCGAATGAATGAAGAGCAAGCACATCCATTGGCTCTGCCTTTGTGAACCGAGCACTTGCTGTTATTGCTGGTACTCCACAGCCTGCAGACCGGGACTCAGAGAGGGCAAGTGGCTTCCTCAAGGGCGCACAGCAAATCAGTGGCACAGGGGATGGGGATGGGGTGTGTCTGACTCCAGAATCACACACACTGCTGGACTGCAGTGGTGCAGTCAGAGCTCACCATAACCTCGAAATCCTGGAGTCAAGTGATCCTCCTGCCTCAGCCTCCCAAAGCGCTGGGATGACAGGTGTGAGCCACCGATCCCAGCCCAGGACCACACTCTTTAAGAAAAAAAATAAAGGAAATATTTTTCTGATTGGGAAAGTAACAGGCTGGGCACGATGGCTCACGCCTGTATCCCAGCCCTCAGGAGGCTGAGGCAGGAGGATCGCTTGAGCCCAGGAATTTGAGGTTGCAGTGAGCTATGATGATGTCACTGCACTCTGGCCTGGGTGACAGAGTGAGACCCTGTCTTAAAAAAAGAAAAGAAAAGAAAATGGAACTGCAAATGTCTGCCTCAACCTCCTGAATAGCTGAGACTACAGGCACACACTGCCACGCCCAGCTAATTAAAATTTTTTTTTTGTAGAGATCAGGGTGTCACTACGTTGCCAAGGTTGGTCTTGAACTGCCAGCCTCAAGCAAACCTTCCACTCTGGTGTCCCAAAGTGCTGGGATTACAGGTGTGAGCCACCAGGCCTGGC